TGTCCCGCCGTTTTTCGAGGTTCTTCACTTCTACAAGACGTCTCTGTTGTGTGAAATCGTGCATTCCACTTTTGCGGACACAAGATACCTTCGCTCATTACGGACACGTTTCCCGGACCTCTATGACTTCATTCAAGACCCAGGTCACCATCAACAACCATGCGTCTACATCAGACTTTCTCCATGGCACAGTCCATACTACCTTGGAGCAACTGATCAGGATGTTCTTCGACGAGAACACTCACGCAGTCGCAAATTTTGCCTTCTTCAAACCTGCACTTCACTACTGGAAGCGATCCAACACTTACTGGCTTTTCTGTGCCATTCCGGTTGAGATCAAACTTCCCATTTCCTCGGTTTGGGTCCAGGAAAGCAAGTGCTACGTCCGCATTTGAATGCTCACTGGGCACATAGACTTCTTCGAAAAATTGGCTTCCGTGAGCATCTGGTTGACTGTCGGCGTCATTCGTTGTCATCTCCCACCTCACTAGATCTGCCATTTGCCATTTTCCGACAACTCTGTCATTTGGACTATTACATTCCCCCAGTGCAGCTGGAGAATGTGGGTAGTGCCGAGTTTTTAGGCTGTGCCATAGACAAAAACATGCGTACGGTTCGGTTTCTGGTCCCGAGTGATACTTTTGCATTTCGCCCAGTCAATGGCGCTGGCACATGGGCTCATAAGATTTCACCGGCTCAATCCCGCATGAGCCTTGCATCCAGGTACAGCTTTCCCAAACGACAAGCACAGCAAGATGTGCGCGCATTGGTGAACTTGTACAGCACAAATGGGTTTCCCGTTCCACCTTTGCAGACACTAGCAAACAAGTTTCTGGCGAAACGCCAGGCTCAGCCTCGATAAAACATTGGAGTGCTACCCGCGCTTCGGCTCATGTTCCCCACTTTGCACTATTCGAGAAGTGGCCCGGTTCTGATAGTTGTAGCACATCGTGTTTCAGGGTCGTGCCGCCTGCCGCTAGTTAGGTTTGGTTGCGCGTGTGGAAGTGCCAAGGCAGGAGGGCTTGAAGGCAGAGCCACTGATGTTTTCAAGCAGTCGAAAGTTCCTTTTCTTTCTTTGTGCTGTTCAAATGTACCTCTCAAATGTGGCCGTCTCGGGTGATCTCGTTGATGCACTAAGTAACGACCTTGGGTCAGCGGTTCCGAACTTCTTTTGGCCGTTTTTTTTTCGACTCGTCTGACGACCCCCTGACTTGTTGTTTTTTGGGATGCAAGGAGGTACTTTAAAGCGTTTAAGGTCTTTTTTTTGGTGGAGTTGTAATCGGTGAGAAATTCCTGACTCCAGGGCTTCAAAGAGGCCGCGGAAAAGCTCTCAACGATGCTGACTACTCCTACATGGAGTACATGTGTGCGTGTGAGTGTACGTCTGGTCGCAAAGACATTCGACGCAAATTGCGTCCGGAGACACGCTTGACCGGGCAGTTCCTGTTTAGTTTCTCTTCTTTTTGATTTGAACAGTTCGACGACGTTGTTTGGTTTAGGGGTCCCACTCAAAACAGATACGCACTAAGGTCCGATGCTCGCACCCGTCCGTTTTTTCATTGGAGCGGCGAAGCCGCGCAAGTCGGATCTGTAAACACGTTTGACAGGGCCCCTCTGTTCGGTTTTCTTCCGTTTTCTCGGATCTGAACAGTTCGACGACTTCCGGTTTTTTCCAGCAGGGGCGTCAGGCTCGTCATACCTACCTGACGCAACGAAGCTATGGTATGGTGAGGGAAACGTGGGCTGATCACCCACGTGTACCTGCAGGGAGATGTGTCTGATTTCAGCTGTTGGTTCCCCAATCGGAGAAAGTGATGCTGTTCTGGCTGTTGCTTCCGCTCAGCTTGTCTGTGCCTCCAAAGTGTGCTTTGGCTCACCTGACTTCGCTTGTCGCATGAACATGGGTGGCTACGGGCTGATCCCATACTGGAAGAAATGCAGACGGAATCAGACTACTTTCCTCTGGGAAGTACCACAAGTGTGTGTGTGATTGTGTGTGTGTGTATTTGTTTTTGTGTGTGTGTCTCTTTGTGCCTGTGTGTGCGTGTGTCTGTGTGTGTGTGTCTGCGTGTGTGCGTGTGTGCGAGCCTGCGTGCGAGCGTGCTGCAAGTCTTCATGGGCACAGGCGCAGAAGACGCTGACATTGCTGGGTTCGGAATTGCGCCACAGCAGAGCTGCTGTTGCGCAGCAATGCGATGCTTGCCCTAGCGCATGATCGCGCACATGCTCTTCGAAGCGTGTTGATCACAGTTTTGAAGGCCACTAGACGAGGGTTGTTCTTGGCGTCACCGTTGCAATCACATTTTGGGGAGCAAACCTACATGTCTCAGCAAAGTTTGTTATCACCCCAATTAGCGCACGGATAGGTAGATGGCATTGTTTTTCCTCCCTGGAGTTCTCCCCGTTTCCGTTAAATCCTGTTGACGGATCTTGGTACAAGGATGGCGGTTTCATCGTGGAGCAGAAGTATGCCCTCAGGACAGGGCGAACGGTAGGTGGTACAACTTGCCCCCAAGTCTCGGAATGGTGCGCAACTCGTTTTTGCGACTGGGTTGTCATTTCTTAGAGGCTGCAAGTGCCGTTGAGGGACGCATTGAGGTGCGATAGCGCCAGTGCACTGACTGACATGGAGAGGTTCTGTGGAAAGTTCGCTCACTTGGTAGATGTTTCGTGCTCGGCGAGAATTTGGGTGTGTCCTTTTTGAGTATACCCTTTTTGGGCTTGGTTTAAAGGGAGACCAACAAAAAGGCAGCGCCATGTTGGGTGCCCCTGGTTTGGATTTTTCCCCACGCAGGACAGGCAAGGAGAGCTACAAGCCTGGAGTGCCCAAGTCGCCGGAACCTGAGAAAACCAATTTTTGCTCAGATGGGCCACGTGCTCAAAACGCGGGTAGATGAAGGCTAGTAAGGGACAATCCCAACCATAAATAGCAGCGGATATCTGCCTTCGTAATTCTTTGCGCATTATTCCGGGTAGACCATTTTACTACCGGGTTTTGATTATGACTCCGATATGCCGATATGGATCTTGAAATTAAAATAGGGAGATGCCCGCGGAATGGACCCCCATGTGTTCGCCAGCTGACATTATCTTGGCGTTGGTGTTGCGCCCAAGTGGGTGTTCAACCGCTGTTCCATGTCGCCCTTTGCTTGTTTCGACCGCGTACTTGCAGCTTGTTCCAGAATATCGTTGTTCAGCCTACACAAAGCCTCAGCAGATTCAATTTTCCATGTGGTTTGTCTCTGAAATCGGGGGTCCCTTTCACTTAAACATCATTTGGTCCCAGTACCCCAAAACCGAAGACTGAAAACTGCATAAGCAACACAAAGGTTAACCCAACAAGTAAACATAAATGGCCACGGTTGGTTTTGACCCACTGTGAGGGGGAGCGAATCAATCAAAGGACCAACCGTGCGCATCGCTGCCGTGCATTCCTCAGTTGTGGCTTCATCACCCACGGGGATGAGCGTGGCCACCGCGGGGCCGGAGCCCAAGAGAAGACTTAGGCTCTCAGAAAGGAGCCCTGAGGCGTCCCTTGTTTTTTGCCGAAAATGGCAAGGGTTTCATAGGGTTTTCCCTTTTGGTTGGTGGTCGGTTGGTGTCCTTTTGCTTTTTTTTCATAGGGCTTTTGTGGTTCTTGATAGGGTCTTCGTTTTTGGTTGGTGTCCTTTTGTGGTTTTTCATAGGGTCCTTTTGTGGTTTTGCTTTCGACAACCGCAAGGGGTCCATCGCTTGACAACCACTCATTTGGGGCAAACATCAGGGCGCCTTGTCCGCTTGCGCAAAACGACTGTGCTTTTTTCGCATCCAAAAGGAAACACATTGTTGGAGCGCATGGGGAACCCAATTTTACCCTCCCAAAAACAAACAGGGATCCTCATAGAGGGGTTTAGCTGGAGGAAACGGGTTTTTCAAGGGTGCATGTCAGATTCCCTGCTTGTTTCTGGGAGGCAATCTCACCCGCAAGCATCGTTGATTCCTGTATGCAACCACCCGAAAGCAGACGAAACATGCTTGCCGGTCGGCTTTACACGGAAAGCGACCAATTGAGAGACAAATGCGATTGTTTGATTTGCTTAACGATGCTTTGCATGATGCCATCAAAGGGGCCAGCACTTTTGTTTTTTGTGCTCGCCATACCCTCCCCCAACATGGAAGCTCCAGGACCCCTTTGCAAGACTTGAATCATGTTCATTTGAGGGAGCGTACCACATTGTGGCTCAAGCCGCGTCGTGGTCAACCCCCCAATTCGTGGGCCATGGTTATGGTTCCCTCAACCCTTGCAATGGTCCTCTGCATTCCGCTTCAAGCGGGGTCCTTTGGACGGCGATTGTCTTCAGACGATTTTCCAGGCCGCTTGAGAGGCACTCTTTCGAGCTCCGTGAGCGCCGGACCCGCGCTTTGCTAGTGCGAATGGTTGCGAAATCCACAGCAGTAGACTTTGTCTCTTTTTGGCATCAATTGCGGAAGGACGCGTGCACGAATTCTGAGGTGCCGGGAGAGCGAGGTTACAAGAACCTGGGCCAAGGCAAGCGGAAGGAGCGCATGTGGTGCACCCGCTTTGGGGGGAAACCTGCAAGCCATGCACCAGATTATTAGGGAACCCAAAAAAGGGTTCCGAATAGAACAGATACTGCGGCCCTTTGAAGTTGTGGTTTTGTCGCGCTGTTCAGCATGAGGACTTGAGCGATGACGAAGCAGAAGCGAGATCCATGAGCTTCTTGCAGAAGGCGGGTCGCTCGCTGTGTCATTTCGCAGGCCGTCTTGTTAGAGGCACCGTAAAACACAAGTCACCATTTTTTCAGGTACAACGGGTGTGTTGGATGGGCGGTTTGGGAATTTGACCCCCTGGTTCTTGTAGAGGGTAAATGGGAAGCCACACCACCAATCAAAGGGAAGCTGAATATTCGATCCCTCAACCCTCAGACCCTCAGACCCTCAAACCCTCAGACCCTCAGACCCTCAGACCCTGGACATTTTAGGGACACGGAGCCATGGCCAGGTAACGATTTACTGCTGCCATCAACGACCTTGGAGCGGCACCGAACACCAAGCAACCGATTTGTTCGTTCAACATCAAGGCGACATCCTCGGTACCCAAACATTTCTTTGGTGCAGTTAGGACCTTAACTGTTTGGCCAACTAATGAGGCTTCCTTTAAACCACTACAAGTTAAACTTTTAGCAGGTGAGCAGAAAGCAACCGAGCTTTGTTTCGCGGTTCGTTAGGGATACCACCCAAGAGTTTGTTTGAAGTAAATATGTCTCGCGGGTATGGAAGCCACCCCATGGTTTGTGAGAAGTCGTCACAATGTCCAGAAGCCACATCTACATTGTTTTGTTGTTGACGGCCAGGACATGGACTTCAACGCCTTCTTCGGCGCATGGCGCGGCTGCCAAAGGTTTGTCAAAACCTGCGCGCTTCCCGTCGGTTCTTTTTCGAGGCAGACCGAAGTCCGTGGTTCAAACATAATATGTTTTTGTCTGGTCCAAAACCCGTTGACACATGCTACATTCCCACTTGGCAACACATCAGAGTTCTGCGGCCGAGCTCTCACAAGAGATGTCAAGAGAAACGCCATGGTGCGAATTCCATTGCAATGTTGCTTGCCTGTGTGATTGCTGGCCTGCTTCTTGCTTTGGATTGCTTTGCATTGCTTTGCTTTGCTTGTTTTGCCTGCTTTGCTTCCTTGCCTTGCTTGTTTCCTTGCTTTGCGTGCATTGCTTTAGCCTTGCCTGCTTGCTTGCTTCCCCTCTCGCGCTTGCTCCCTTGCTTTCTGGCTGGCTGCCTGTCCTAGTTGCTGCTGGCTTGCCCCTTGCCTTGCAAGGCCTTGCCGTGCTTGCTTGCACCGTACATGCTTGAACATGCTTGCACGCGCTTGCTCTCTTTTGTTGCTTTGTCAGAAGCATGTTTGTCACTCACGGTATGTGTGTGATGGTGTCTAGCCTTGTGACACAGCGCATCATACATTCCCCGTGTTCTGCAAGTCTGGCAGTCTGGACATCTGATCTGGCAATGGACATGGCGAGTTGCTGGGTAGGCGTTCGGAAAACGCGGAATTCGTGCGAGCAGAACGGCTGGGCTGGCATTTGATCGCTTCTTGTTTGAGGATTCAGAGGTGCCATGTCAGCTGGCTCACGTGTAGATTGCATGCGTCAAACCGAGTTCCTTATATGGGTACGGGTCAACATTAAGCCACCAGGGGACCGCAGGATTTAGTCCTTGGTTCCTTTTTACCAGTGTTCCATTTTGGGTACCTATGTTTGAACCACAGCCATATTTCCTCTTTTGGTGGCTGAAACATTCACCTGGACAACCTCCAAGCGAGGTTCCTTTTGCAGGGGTGGTTTGAGTTTCGGAGGGGAAGCATAGGGAACCCAAAGGGAATTAAGCTGTTGGTCTATCGCGAATTTCTGGATGGATAGCAGTCCAGTGCAGAACTCGATGCTTTGCTAAAGATGAGTCGATGTCAATGTCAAGAGAACGGCAATCCCAGGAACATAATCGGCTTGCCGGTTGCAAGGTCGGACTGGCAATCTAAGCGGGCAAGGCTGGAATGCATGTTGCATGCAGAATCTTGCACAGGCTCAGATCGGATCCTGCACACTTTGTTTTATCGAATCCAATAAGGGGCAAAGGGCCCAAGCAGGACTTGAGCCAAGGTGATGCGCATTTAGGCAGTGGGCTTGCGTCACGTGCTTCCACACTGCCGCCATTCCAGTCCACTACAATCTGCTTGGATTGCGCTCGGGGTGGCGCTGTTTCCAAGAGCTGTGGGTTGGGGCTGGTGATGGGAGCTTCAAGCTCCTTGTCCACGAGGGATTGGAGAAGGGGAACCCCTCACTCCTAGACACGGTGCCTCATGCCTGGACTTGACATCTCTTTTAGGATTGTTTTAGCAAGCTCAAAGTTTTTGCTTGGGCCATAGGAAATTCCGGCGATTCCCGGGGCCAGGTGCATGGCGGCGATTCCCTGGGCCAAGCCCGAGCCAGCTGCAGAGGTTGCCGAGGCGAGGCTTCAAGCTGCGGAGCCGTTTCCGTGTGTCCGGTGGCGTGTTTGTGGAAAAATGTGCTTGTGTGTGTGTGTGCGTCTGCATGTTTGTTTATGTGGGCGTGCCACGAAAGGCTTGGGCAGTGCTTGGGCAAGTGCATGTGTCAAGCGCATGTCGGAAAAGAGGAAGAGTTCGCATTTGGGGCAGATTGCATGATCTGAAAGCAATTGCTTTGGGGGCCTATGAACACGGATTCTTCACTCAAGCAGGCCCATGTCATAGTCCATCAAATTGACAGCTCCCCACTACTACGCTACTACATGCGACTTTGTGTTGTTCATGGAACCGTATGACTGGGGTAAACCACCGGGTGCAGCATCTAGAATCTTGACCTGTGACAGTCACAGGTGCCGCCGCTTCCGGAACCTGCCTTCGAGGTGGATTTGCGGCAGGCGGAGGACGACATTGAGGGAGTTGGAGAGTCGTTTGACTACGCGTTTGGCAATGAAGGGGGACGCTCATGTTTGAACCCAACGCGCTTTTCTCAGAGTCGCACACCCATCGCTTTTGGCCCGCCCATGTTGCTTCTACTCACTTCCTGAGTTCATGCACTTTAAACTTTTTGGGAGGTTGTAAATATAAAGGTTGGACTTTGTTTGGGCCATCCACTCAGCCAGTGAGTCTAAGAGGGGACTCAAAGAAACGGTCGACTCGACGGTCCACGAAAAGGGCACGCACAACGTGCGAGGAGGCGGCTGATGAAGCCGAGATGGCTGCGGAGGCAGCTCGCCTCGCCTCAGCTGAAGCGGCCGCCGCTCGCACCGCTGTCGAGGCACAGATGGCTTTGTATGCCATGGCGCCGATGGATCGTCGCTCAGCGAGCCTGAGAAAGTGTGGTTGCCATTTAGGTTTCCCTTTGCACCCTGAAAAGGTTGCCATCAGAATAAAACACACACACACACATGTTTTCCCCCAAGCAATGGACCTGCGAATCGCTTGAATCGCTGCTTGAGCTGCTCGAAGGCTCAATAGCGTCTGAGCCATCGGGTCGGGGCCCCAATGATTCCTGAGGCAGAAGGCGTTGGTCATGAACCCACGGCCTTGAAACTGAATTCACCCATGCGGATTTATACCAAAGTGGCTCATGCATGGGTTCATCAACACATTCAGCCTTTGAGTCCGGCCTTTACGAAGAAATCGCGGCAATCGTCGTTCCTATGTCTGAAAAATATCGGGTTGCATGCAGAACCTAAAGAGAGGGAATAAGAAGAGGGTACAATGCTCTGAGAAATAAAGCATTACAGCATTGTACGGAGCACAGAAATGATTCTGGCTCACTCCATTGGTGCCATTGCTGGAGTTGGGTTCATGCATGTTGCACAACTGCGCTGCACGGGTTTTCTTGACAGGCACCAGCTATGAAGAGTTGTTTGCTTGCAACAGTTTGGCAGCGCTTCGCTGCATGTTTTGTTATTTTCATTTGTTGCCAAGTCATTGCTCACGTACTGAGCCTTGTGGTGTTCATAATGTCATTGCATGTGCAACTATGTTGGGTCCTCCTGATGAGGAGAACCTCAGGAGCGTTGCCAAAGCAAATGCATGTCACTGCAGGCATGTCAATGTCCAACGTGCTTGTAGCTGAGTATACGTAGCTTGGCAATTCGGAAACCGCATTCGTGAAACCGTTCCACCCAACAACGTTGTATGCTTGATGTTTGCAAGATTTGATGTGGCTGTTGCTTCCTTGCTGAATCAGCATCCTGACTGAGATGTGCTTCGCGCGTGTCAGGATCTCTGCAAATTCACGGCCATGCTCGCATAGCGACTCTGCTTGGTGCCGTGCGGGGAAAAGTCTGTGCAATTCGCCCTGGCAAGGATCATATGGCATGGGTCACTTCATTGCTTCAAGTTGTTCTGTTGAGTATTTGCGTGCGAAAAGAGCCCATACTCGAGTGACAGTGGACTTGCATCTGCTTTAGCCTGCAAGCTTCTGTCCCAACGACCCAAAAGAGTTGCTTTGCCTCACTTCAAACTGTCGTCGGCCATTGGTCTTCACGCATAGTTGTTTCCGTGCAACAAAAAGCGATGCGCTCCCCAGTCCCGTTTTCGGGCTCCAGACATTGGCAGCACGAAGCATCAAAGAGACGTCCGCACGGCAAACGCAGAGCTTGTGAGTTGCTCTTGGCGCAGTCCCTCTTGACGCTGACTTTCTTGGGGTACAACACACCTTGCTTTGCAAGTTCTGTCCACACAGACTCGCAAAGTTGTGTGAGCACTGCCAAGTCCGACACAAAAGAGTTGCCCAGCGTGTTCTTGAGGGGACCTCTCACCCCAGGGGGAAAAGGGAAGCCTCAAAAGGAAGACTGCAGCGTTTGTGGGGTGAAAATCCCTCATTAAGCAGAGTCGTCAAACGTGTTCCCCTTTGTTTGACCCTGCCGCAAAAAAAGGTGCCGTTTTTTTTCCCACAAAGTACCGGACAGAGGGCCCCGAATTGTTGACCACGCGCCATAAAAGTTGCGTTTGATCTCTTGCGTGCCATGGCAGATCAGCCATCTCCCGGCTCTCTGCCTCAGGCACCTGCTTGCAAGTGACCTAGATCCACTCGTCTTGTTGAGTTCTTTGGGGTGAAATCTTCCAGGGAACACCACGGGTTTCGCAAGGGTTTCCTTTTGTAGGTCTCCCTGTTTTGAGACACACCCGCAAAAAGTGCGAGAAGCTCTTTTTTTTCTGCAAGCCAGGGTAGGACATTGGACGCTGCTTGTGCTGGCAATGGCCAACCTCCCAAATGACGACAACTGGCGAGGGCAGCGTCCCTGTTTCGGGGTGCCGTTGGGATGTCCAAGCTTGCAGTTTGCCTGTGAATTTCGGGGGAAGTGGCCACCTTTTTTGTTGGCGAGCAAGAGGAAATGGCTGCTCAAACAACAACCCAACATGACCCCGAATGGAAACAAGACCCAAAGCCTGCGGGACAGCGAGAGTTTGAGCACCCAAATCGAGAGACCCTACGTTCCCTCGGACAGGGCGAGATAGTTCAGCCGCCCGAGCTCACCTCAGAAGCGGAGTGGCCTTGGAAGAAGGCTGGTGAGTTGTCTGGAACCCACCAGGCTGTCAAAACCAATAGGATCCCATTTTGGGCTAGGTGCACAGATTTTAGAACCTATTTTAGTGGGGGTTGGGATGTTCACTGGGGGTACGATTTTGATTTTGACCCATGGTCACCAAGAAGTTGGTGGACAGGTACCCCCTTCAAAAGTGAAACCTCCCTTCCTTGAATTGGACCCTTTGGGAGATTCCATGTCTGGAGTAGGTGATTTGTCAACCAGTATTCATAGGGTTCAACTGCTAATTTGGCTTTGTGTGAGAAAAACCTCCAACAGGATTGTCAGCTGAGTCAGAATGCCTACTTGAGCTACCTGAGGATGATCATGCAACAATGATCCGTGCGCATTTTGCTTTTAGCACATGCCAATTTAATTCAATGGTGAGCATGCCCATTTGGAGGCAACCAAGGCTACCCACAGATGTTTCGCATGCCTGCTCGACACGCTTACATCACATGAGTCACTTGCTCACAACCCAATTAGCCTCAGTTTCTTTGATTTCATGTAGGGGCGTCCCCTTTGCACAGTTGTGGAACAATTATGTTAAATGAAATGTAATCCTCTAAGTTTCACGTCTGAGTATGGCTTTACTCCGTGCTCCGTTTTAGGGGTTCCCTGTGTGACACATACCCCAATGTATCTCGGAAACATGCTTTGCACATCATTCTGAATGCAGGTCGAATCTTCCACCTCCGCTGAGCAGCCGATCCAACCAGCGGATCGGACGCCGAGCCGGTGAATCGTAGTCGCCCTGTTGCACGGTGTTGTTCCCCTTAAACAGAACAAGCGCTCTAAGCACAGATTCCTGCGATGGATGAAACCCCATGATACTGGGATACACCAAATGGCAAGATGGGCCACAAACAAAACGCGAATTCGCACATGTTAGGACTGTCCCAGCCAGAAAGAGGTGCCACCGCCCTCTTGATTCTTTACATAGTGTTGGATAGACCCTTTTGCCATATTTCAAAGATTGTGGCGGTGTTGCGCAACATGGCCAGGTGCTAAGGTGACTGTAAACAGCGCCCAGCGATTCCATTTCCTGTGGCAGGTAACCACAGGAACCATGGTTAGCTACACCCACTTGGGTGGCGAAAAAAGCCATGGTGAGAAGCAACCCACGAATTGGCCGAGGTGGTTGAGGATGCACCCCGGAGCTTCCGCAAGGATCTTTGGGACAGGCAGGACCGCACACACAAGCGTTGGCCAGGTTCGGCTCCTGGTCTTTATAAGGGTAGGCCGTGATATGGGTGTGGCTCAATGATTGAAAAACTGGGGTTACGTGGTTGTTCGTTCGTTCCATTTGCCAAGGTGCCATTTTGGTACATGTTTGTGGGCAAAAGCATGTATGATCTTACAGCTACGAGTCAACGGGTGGGCGCTCATGTGTGATTCATGGAGGGCACTGCCAAATTTAGGTTTTTAGGTTGGAGAAAGTGTGCCATTTTTGAGGTTGGTTTCCCTCCATTTTGACACATGCGGCATGCCAAGGAAAAACCCATTGCCAGAACCCCCCTGCCAATGAAAAACACATATTGCAAAGTAAAGAGGCCGCAGTTTGGTCTAACACATGCCCATATAGCTGCCTCTTGAGAGGGTTTGATTTGTCCGTTTGCCTGTGGCAAGGGAAAGTCCAAACGCATGTTGCCTTTGCTCCAGTTATGCTTGTGCGGCAATGTAGCATTGTCAAGCTATCAATTGTTTTGTAAGTTGCACATACTCAGTTGTTCAGTGGCACCCTTTTTCCCTGGTATTGGTGGCTGCCCCACTAAAAATGGTCTTGCCCAAAAAGGGTTCCTTTTTATTCCAGGGTCACTGAACAACTGAGCATAAATGTGTTGTGAGGTGGTTGGCATGCACTTTACGGTACTGTTATATGTTTGTGAGAGAGTGTGTTTGGAGTATTTGTGATCGTTACGTGAGGAATTGACTGGTAGTTGGGGTTCATTTGCACATTCACATACAAATTGTGGGAACCTCCATAGGTTTGACCGTGGCTCAGCGAGCGAAGGTTCGACTACCTGTGGAAGCACCGGATTGAGCCTTCTCAGAGCTGCTTGATCGAATCTACCCTTTGAGATGAGCACCGATCATGAGAGTCTCAAAGGCGACCCCCCTCCCCCCCAAAAAGAAGACAAGAACAGTGTTGTGTCCCTCCCTTTGTTTCTCAAAAAAGGACGCCATTGAAAGACATCATAGTGTGTCGATTTTGCATGCCCATCTCACCTGATTTTGGGAATATGTTCAGCTGCTCAGGTTAATGATGGCATGCCAATGGAGTTCTGACTACGGGCCGTAAGGAAATTACCCAGTTGCCCAGTGGCGCCCTTTTTCCGTTTTTTGGGGAAGGGAAGGGTGTTACTTGAAAGTCAACCAACCAAAAAAGGACTCCAATTCTTTTATCCCATGGAAATCAACTGGGCATTTGAGAGGTTGATGCAAGCGCATCAGTACGCTTGGCAAAGGACCGCTTGGGCGTGAATTCCTTGTGAGATGAACCAAGGCGTGACATGTCAATGTACTCCAGCAGGAATCCAGCATGTAGCATGTAGCATGTTTCCATAAGCAGCAGGGATTGCTTGTATGAGAGTTTTGAACCTGGACCCCTTTTTGATTGATATTTACAGGGAAATGAAACCAAAAGAAATCGACCATTTAGGGGACACCTATTTTGAGAAACACCCGCATAGTGCTCTCACTATGTAGTTGTTTGCTGGAGCCAGCGTGGACAGCAACTGAAAGCTGGCAATGCTCGAATTGCAGCCTGCTTCGAATCAAACCTCAACATAGCCAACAAGGCAAAGTCAAAACTCTGGGGTGCAACTAGGTATGCGTATTGAAGGATGGCCTGCTTGTGTGGAATTTGAAAGCAAGATAAATGGCAGCTAGACATTGGGACAGACCTTTCCAGAGCCAACAGCTTGAGAACTTTGTGAGGATGTTTGTGGTGTGGCGGGTGTGGGCATGAAGATTGTATACCGCGCACGTGCAGTTGCGTAGGTCCCACATGCAACTGCACAAGCAAGATTGCCGGCGCACTTCCGCGTTTTTGCGCCCGCCGTTTCGCGCAAGCGAGATGTCAGTAGAACACCGGCATTTCGGCAATCCAACTACGTCCTAGCAAGGGTCCGCGGGGAACACTTATGACCCGCGGAAGTGCTGTTTAGCTTACTTTGATTGGTGGACACCTGTTGGCATAGGCCGGCGCGAGACCCGAGACACGCAAAGAAAAGGATCAGCTTTGGGTGGCTTCAGTGCGGTTTCATGTTGTTAGCTGCTTGATGTTGGTGGCGTTCAGCGCTGATTTTGGCATGATCGCACTGATTCACGTGGCTTTGCGGGATTTGGGTCTGGCCTTAGACCAGTTTTTTTTTGCGCATGGCCGCCTCCTGGCAGGTCGGGGCTGTTTCCACCACCTCTTTCGCGCCATCGCCGCGCGCACCGTTGCGTCGCACTGAGGTTTGCTGCAGAAGGTCACGGATCTGCTGAGGAGCCGCGCGGAATTGGAGCGGAAGTACCTTGGCTGCTATTGGGTTGGATCTTTAGACTTCAGCTTTTTGGTTGAATTTCAAGTTGGGTTTCCCACTAAACCCCCCAAAAAGTGAAAAGCTTTTTGCGGGCGGGGGGAAAAAGCCACCGAGGTACGGGGAGAGCCTCCTGAGCTTCGGGGAGATCTCCGAGTCAGGCACGGCTCCGGTGATACGAGCCTCGGGGGGTACTACTAGGTGCCCCAGCCTCGGGGGGTGCCCTTGTACCGTTTCTTTTTTTGGTTGGGAGGGTTCCCCTACTGAAAGAGGCAGAAACAAGTTGGTACCAACTTATTCTAACCTCTCTACTGGAGGACCTAGACTAAGCCGCAATCAAAACCCAGGGAAGTGGAGGGTAAGTGACGCCCTTGCCATCGTAATGGTAACAGGTTTGAGCATCTGGCCGGCCAGAGCTTGCGGAGCGGCAAGGGACGGTGCCAACAGCTGCAGTGCACATGGTGTCGACGGACAGTCCTACACCAAAACCCATACCATGCGCCATAAACAACTGTCGCAGCCATAGCCGGACTTCTTGTGGTCTCCACGGCACAGCGTCAGCAGTACCGGCGGTACCTAGGGGATTTGAACCACTCCAACTTTTGACGGCCCGGCCAGGCATTGCGCTACTCCATACCGTCGCCCGTAGCTGCAAACAGCCATGGATAGCCACTGTCCCACCATGAGCTTCTTTGGGGCTTAGCCGCGGTTCCCTTTTTGTAGCTTCCACATGGCGTCGACACGTCCAAGTGTCACGTCAGGTGCACTGCACAGCGCGGTGGATGCGATGATTGCGGCTCGGCTAGGCCAAACTGCGATTTTCGTCCCCCTTTTTTTCTCGCCAACCTGGGTGTGCACAGTCAAAACCAGGTGAACATGTTGCTCGAGTGCCTAAGTCTTATGTTTCTTGTGGAGGCTGCTTTTCTCAAAAGACTTTGGATAGGTTGACCGGGGGCTGCTAAATGAGCTCGCCCAGTATGAGCTTTTGGTGAAAGAGAAGCAAAAGCTGGAGCGCATTCCAACTATGTACAGCGTGCAACTCGCTAGTTTGCAGGGGCTTATAGAATGAAACTCGTTATTTTCTGCCCAACGGCTACTTCAAGGCGACCTGGAAAAGTACCCCCCACTAGAAAAACATCTCGAGGTCCAGCTCAGTTGTTTAGTATTGCTGGTCTTCCTTTTGGATTGGGTTCGAGTCTGCATTGGATCTCGAGTTGGTACTGAGTTGGTGGACTGGAGTTTTCATGTGACTTAGTATTGCTGGATCGACCTTTGATAATAGTATTGCTGTTTTTGTTTGGGGGGGGGGGGAACTAAGCTTCCATGTTTTTTGTGTTGCTGGAGCCTCCTTTTGTGATTCAAATTTGAGTTTCTTAAATTTATTGCAGGTGCTTTTCATTATTCTTCGCGGACCACCCGATTGTTCCCGAAAGCATCGCGAAGGGTTCTTCCGTGCGGAGCCCTTGGACAAGTTACATAGAGCCAAGTTACATAGAGCCAAGTTACATAGAGCCAAGTTACATAGAGCCAAGTTACATAGAGCCAAGTTACATAGAGCCAAGTTACATAGAGCCAAGTTACATAGAGCCAAGTTACATAGAGCCAAGTTACATAGAGCCAAGTTACATAGAGCCAAGTTACATAGAGCCAAGTTACATAGAGCCAAGTTACATAGAGCCAAGTTACATAGAGCCAAGTTACATAGAGCCAAGTTACATAGAGCCAAGTTACATAGAGCCAAGTTACATAGAGCCAAGTTACATAGAGCCAAGTTACATAGAGCCAAGTTACATAGAGCCAAGTTACATAGAGCCAAGTTACATAGAGCCAAGTTACATAGAGCCAAGTTACATAGAGCCAAGTTACATAGAGCCAAGTTACATAGAGCCAAGTTACATAGAGCCAAGTTACATAGAGCCAAGTTACATAGAGCCAAGTTACATAGAGCCAAGTTACATAGAGCCAAGTTACATAGAGCCAAGTTACATAGAGCCAAGTTACATAGAGCCAAGTTACATAGAGCCAAGTTACATAGAGCCAAGTTACATAGAGCCAAGTTACATAGAGCCAAGTTACATAGAGCCAAGCCAAGTTACATAGAGCCAAGTTACATAGAGCCAAGTTACATAGAGCCAAGTTACATAGAGCCAAGTTACATAGAGCCAAGTTACATAGAGCCAAGTTACATAGAGCCAAGTTACATAGAGCCAAGTTACATAGAGCCAAGTTACATAGAGCCAAGTTACATAGAGCCAAGTTACATAGAGCCAAGTTACATAGAGCCAAGTTACATAGAGCCAAGTTACATAGAGCCAAGTTAGGTAGAGCTTAGAGCTTCGGCGTTAGCAGCTATGTAAGTTAGTTTAGGTTTCTAAGGCGCCGGGGCGGGAGTTTGATCGTCGCTCGGGATTGCGACCCTCTGCGGAGATTCGCGTGGTCGAGGTTCAAAAACTGAGGACTTTTTACGATTTTTAGCATGCGCGCGCGACCCTCTGCGGAGATTCGCGTGGTCGAGGTTCAAAAACTGTGGACTTTTTACGATTTTTAGCATGCGCGCGCGACCCTCTGCGGAGATTCGCGTGGTCGAGGTTCAAAAACTGTGGACTTTTTACGATTTCTGCGGTGCGCGCGCGACCCTCTGCGGAGATTCGCGTGGTCGAGGTTCAAAAACTGTGGACTTTTTACGATTTCTGCGGTGCGCGCGCGACCCTCTGCGGAGATTCGCGTGGTCGAGGTTCAACAACTGAGGACTTTTTACGATTTTTAGCATGCGCGCGCGACCCTCTGCGGAGATTCGCGTGGTCGAGGTTCAAAAACTGAGGACTTTTTACGATTTCTGCGGTGCGCGCGCGACCCTCTGCGGAGATTCGCGTGGTCGAGGTTCAAAATCTGAGGACTTTTTACGATTTCTGCGGTGCGCGCGCGACCCTCTGCGGAGATCGTGCGCGTCGAAGCGCTCTCGCTGTGGCGCCGTGCGAATTTGTCTTAGTCTCGGCGAACCCTCTGCGGAGATTGTGCGTGTCGAAGCGCTCTCGCTGTGGCGCCGTGCAATTCTTGCTCGCGAAACGGCCTTTGGAAGTTGTCTCGTGGTTTGCGCGCCTGCTTTCGCAATCCCGCGGTCGCGGGTTCGATTCCCCCCTGGTCCGCGGCAGCTCCGGCTTGAAAATCGCAGCTTTTAAGTACAAACGTAGCACGCGGAGCGTGCTCCTGCAGCTCCGGCTGGAAAATCGTAACTTAAGTGCAAACGTAGTACGCGGAGCACACCCCCGCAGCTCCGGCTTGAAAATCGCAACTTTTAAGTACAAACGTAGCACGCGGAGCGTGCTCCTGCAGCTCCGGGTGGAAAATCGCAATTTTTAAGTACAGACGTAGTATGCGGAGCGTGCTCCCGCAGCTCAGGCTGGAAAATCGCAACGTTTAAGTACAAACGTAGTACGCGGAGCACACCCCCGCAGCTCCGGCTGGAGAATCGCAACTTTTAAGTACAAACGTAGCACGCGGAGCACACCCCCGCAGCTCCGGCAGCACTTACGCAGAGCAACTTGCGCAGAGTCACTTGCGCAGAGCAACTTGCGCAGAGCAACTTGCACAGAGCAATTGCACAAAGCACTTGCGCAGAGCAACTTGCACAGACCAACTTGCACAGAGCACATGCGCAAAGCGCTTGCGCGGAGCAACTGGCGCAGAGCCCTTGCGCAGAGCAACTTGCTCAGAGCACTTGCGCAGAGCAACTTGCACAGAGCAGGCGCATAGCAACTTGCACAGACCAACTTGCGCAGAGCACATGCGCAAAGCGCTTGCGCGGAGCAACTTGCACAGAGCACTTGCGCGCAGCAGCTTGCAGAGAGCAACTTGCGCGCAGCAGCCTGGAACAATGCAGCTTGCGCAGACCACTTTCGTGAGAAATCGCGCGGCGCAGTTCGAGAGGAAAGTAGGATGATGAGATGGAGCTCTCATGTGACCATACACACTGAGCATCGATTCTCTTGAATGACCTTTTCGGGCCATTGGATCCCAGGTCAATTTCCGCAATCGCGGGGAGCAGTCCATCATCCTGGCAGATGAGCTGGAGCAAGACATCATCGTCAGCTTCGACTGCGTCATCAAGCAGCACAAGGAGGCATGGTTTGTCTCACACCCCAATGTCCTTCATATATCCTTTTGGGTTTTGCTTTAAGGACATGGGGGGTTGTCAAAGATGAGTACCCTTTTTGGGCCATGGTTTATGCGGGGGCCCGCTTCTGAAATGGGTTCAACAAGGCGTCCATATTTTTGACAACCCTCCACATGTTTACGGCGGATTCCCCTTTCGTTCTCTGCCGCCCGAAAACCTCAACAAAAAAAACAGCTCGCAGGGAAACGTGCGTCACGTGGCCGAAGCCTCTCGGAATAGAGGAAGCATGATCCCAGCATCAGGTATCCAAAAAGGTCTACTCCGATGTGCAGCTGCTGGTCAAAAACCTGCAGGAGAGTTGTTTCGCAAGCGTGTGTCCGAAAGGACACACACTGCTTTTCGACACAAGGTTCGCGCCTTTGTTGCTATTGTGCTGGCATGTCTTCCAAACCACGTGCCTCCTTGGTCCATCAATGCGCTGCCATTTGATGGTTTGTTTGCATATTCCGCGTTCACCAATGTTTAGATGTCCTGGCATTTTGAGCGGAGCATATCAAGCAATCAGTCCAGTATGTTCAGGTCGATCACGGCGATTTGCAATCAGGATTTGCTTGAGTAACGGGAGCAAACGAGTTGCGTCGGGAGGGATTGCAGTTCTTTCAAGGCCCTTTGCTTCTTCGTAGTGAGGGGGAAGGGGGGAAGGGGGGAAGGGGGGAAGGGGCGGTGCAATTTCGTGACGGTCACATGAACAGCGGACCAAAGTCAGACCATGTCTGGCACTTGCCGCACTTTCAAAAGCTTTGCCTCTTCGTTCGCAAACACACGTGTTTTTCCCGTTCATTTTATGGCTAGGCGGCAGCATGAATTTACCTTCCCTCCTGCTGAGTGTCTGATGTTTGCCGAGCCTTCACTCTTGACAAAGCTTCTGGCGAACCACCCTACACGTTTGCAAAAACACATGCTGCTTCATGGTGGTTGCTGACTGACTGACTGGCTGGCTGGCTGGCTGGCTGACTGACTGACTGACTGACTGAGTGAGTGACTGGATTGAAGCAGAGGGCAAGGATACGTAAGGAGGTTAAGAGATTCTGGTATGATATATGGTGTTCAGATAGCTGTAAAGCACCCATCGAAAGGCACATGTGTGTCTATCGCGGGAAGATACTGGTCATGCCATCGACTGCGTGAGCAATGCCTTTTGGACATGGTGTTGAATACTCTATATATTATACATACATACATACAGACAGACATACAGACATACAGACATACAGACATACAGACATACAGACATACAGACATACACACATACAGACATACAGACATACAGACATACAGACATACAGACATACATACATACATACATATTATGCGTAACTTAGACGAGCTGTGTGCAGCTGTTAATACTACTGACAGCTTCGAGTCGATATCCAATGCCTGAGCACAGTTCCGTTATTCGGATTTCCTTCATGATCCACCCTCAGCCTGGCGGCCTGCGTGCGTCCGCATATTGAGCGTGCCATGCTCACATGCGCATTTATAGCAGCATGCTGCCCAGCATGTTGTATGACTGTTTTGTTGACAAAGTTTACAAGCGCGCGCCAAATTACCGCTCTGCTTTTCATGGCCCGGTTTATGCAATCATTCGACAACACGACAGCAGTGAAGTTGAGAAACCCGATCCCGGGGACGTTGCCTGACTGTCGGAGAAGCCGCTGCGCGTGGGCATGCGCATTTTCCAAGTGGCACGGCGTATGCCAAGACTCTCAACTGTTCAACTGCATTGCGCTTGCAAATTGCAAGTTCGTCATTGGCCATGGATGCTCAAGCTCAAAGATTTGGTGCCTTGTTTTTTGTTCCAAGAAAGCCTGAAGGGGGTGGATCTTCTGTAGTGCAAAGTTGCTTACAGCGCAGGGCTGTGGGTTGGAGCACGTCTTCGTCACACCCGGAGGGAGTAGTCTGTGCAAGCCACCCAGCACATTGATGTTTCTGGACTTCTTGGCTGAATTTGATAAACTTGGCCTTCGCTAGCTCCCAGGATCGCCGCAAGTCCCATGATAGGTCAGCGAGGAGGCAGGGTGCTTTGACAGGGCGGAGCGCAGAGCACAGTGCACCCTTGTGAACGGCATTGACTTGCGATGCCAAAAGGCATTTACAACCAACCCCGCAGCGAAGTGAAGCTACTAGCCATAACGTTGTTGTTTGGCAACCAGTCGACCAATCACGCCTTGAATGCAAAGATGTGAATAACTACCCGACAAGAGTACCAC